CTCCCTCCTTCCTCCCTCTTCCTCTGACACATGACGTTATGACGGGCATAGTTCCATGGATACGCTGGACTTACCGGAGCGTTAGGGGTAGCAAAAGAAGCTTGGTCGCTGCTGGATGTAAATGTCCACGTCAAATCACTGCTTCCTGAGATGGACAAACATCGCTCCTGCCGCGGCATTCCCAAAACGAAGTCCGACACATAGAACCTGCCATAAAACAAAACAAAAAAAAAAAACATTATTCCCTGACAGACTGTTTCGTCCTAGTTTGAGCACTGCCTCGCAACTGCAAGTTACTGTATAATCCCACCTTAACCCCACCTCGGGCCACCTGCGTTTACACTGCGCGACACCTGATATCCATCCTCTGTATGTACTGCCCACTGCCCTCGAGTGTGGGCGCCAACACGTGACGAACATCTCCACATGTAGACGATAGACTCCAGGGATGTTTGGTTTATGTTACCTGTTATGACCCAGCAAGAACTTCAGTATTGCATTTTTCGTCCATGATCCGATCTCATCAATCGAACTTCGCCGTAAATCCAAATAATGGATTAGCTAGCAAGGCTTGAGATGTGGGAACGGTAGGTCGACTGGCAGATGTAAGTGGGAACGGCAAAGGAGAATTACGATAAAAGGGTTGAGATTGACAAGGAAAGGAATTGCTTGTGCCGGACCACGCAGCCACCGCAAGTAACAAGGGAGAAAAACTCGTTCGAAAGGTTAAGATACAAGGGTAGATGGTCAAGTTCAAAAGTGACATCATCGCCTACACCACAACGCAAAAAACAGCAAAATTTCGTAATTAAAGAAGGCAGATGTCATCATAATAGACGCCAAAGAACGGCAAATCAAGATAACTCGCCATCATCTTGTCGCGAACTGACGTCTGACTCTCTTACCCACCCAATCTATAAATAGCCTATAATCGGAATGTTCACAGTAAGAAAAATCTCTCTCTCTCTCTCTCTCTCTCTCTCTCTCTCGCGCGCGCGCGCGCGCGCGCAATGAAACGCAAAAGAAAATGAATCTTCCACAAAAAGGAAGATTCGTTCTTGTTTTGAATGTTCGTTTCTCTCTCTCTCTCTCTCTCTCCAAACTCTTTTTTCTCCTTACTTCCCCGCCTCCCCCGCGCTTATGGTTAGACCGCACAGGACCGCGGAAAGGAAAAACTTTGCCGCAAAACCGTTTCCAGGACCCCACAGCCTGCAGCAAATGTCCAGGAAAAGGCGAAATTTCTTCCACAAACTCTTTTCCAGGACCCCACAGACCAAAGACTGTGGCTTGCAAAAACATTGTTTCGTGTTTTCACACAGTCCGCATCCTGGAAAAGTTTCGTGTTTTCACACAGTCCGCATCCTGGAAAAGTCTCGCGGGAGGATTCCTCGCCACACTTTCGTGCCGACTGTAGAGGGTAGGGGGGAGAGCACGTCATTCCTGAGGGTAGGGGGGAAGGCACATCATTCCTGGAAAAGTCTCACGGGAGGCAGCAGCCAATAGCGATGAAGAATGCCACAAAAAAAAAGGAAAAAAGAACAAAACAAACGAGTGCCAACAGAAACAGGCAACGATTGGCTCAACTGATTTCCTAAGGGTTTTCCAAGCGCATTTGGCTCTCCGCGATGGGTTCCCCGCAAAACTGCTTTCCGGCTTTCCAAAATTCTTTGCCCTTTTTATTTGGCCGGTCGCTTTTTCCATCCCTTTTTTTTTTCAAACATCCAGGTCCCACTACCCGGGGTGGTAAGAGCAGCACCAGCTAGTGAATGCCTTCTGATGGCTCCAGTCTATTTTGTGGGGAGCTGCACATGCTGGAAAACGGGTCCAGCATCCCATATAAACAGAAATATCAACCCTGTATGCACAACTCCCTGCCTCTTCACCCTCTGAGGGTGTCAGAAAAGCTTGACGTTCTAGCCTCTCTTCAGACCAATGTCTACTGTAACAGCTCTCACTACTTGTGATAACTTGTAGCCTATGTGATCCATTGAATCTAAACCTGGGCAAGCCAATGGCCTACCAGGCAGTTCAGGAATACTAACAGGATTTGGGTGAGGACAGGGGTCGGAGTTCCATCTGTTATTTCCGTTCAGGGAGGTCTAGGTCCCAGCCGCCATGGAGTGAGAGATATACTCCCATCTGGTTTCCTGCTAGCCAGCCGCTCCTCAATGCCCCAAGTACTGAAGAACCATCTACACTTGGATTTCCTGTGTTTCCTCTAGTTCCAGTCCGACCAGATCATCCTTCGAGTGTGGCCCAGAATCCATTCGAGAGTTGTTGTATCAGAGTAGAAGTGTTTCTTGAAGAGCCCGTCATTCCTCATTTTCCAAATCGACGTCCATCATGGCTGCTCTTACCGCCAAGGCCACATACCCCCATCCTCTGTTATAGGAAACCTTCGGTGGGAGGATGCCATCCATCACGAAATGCTCATCATCCCATTCGATCCTGCACTTGGGGAATTTTGCCCAATGCGCACTCCACCATTTCCAAATTCTCCGAGATTCGATGCACCCCCACCAAAGATGCACCGAAGTCCCCTGTTCCTTTTTACATCTGGCACAAGATCTTTTCACTGGCATGTTCTTGTCAGCCAGCCACGCTGCTGTGGGAACCGCTCTGTGAGACTGCAACCAAGAGAGGCTGGCCATTTTTACGGAGGGGATCTTCTGTAAGGATTCCCACAACCTGTTGAGGTCCGCAGACAGGACTTCTTTTCTTTTCTCACCAGTGGACGTCTTTTCCGAGTTCCATTTGCTTTTTTTTTGGTTTTTTGTTTTTTTGGGGGTTCCATTTGCTTTTAAAACACCAGTCCTTGGCCCAGCTATAGGCCGCCCCGTGTATCCCGTTAACGTGCTGCATTTGGGGGGGTCGTTCCATTTGCTTTTAAACCACCAGTACTTGGCCGAGCTATAACCCGCATATCCCGTTAACGCACCACATTTGCGGGGGTCGGTCGTTCACATGAATGGCCGGTCGGTGAGAATTGCAACGTAGAAAAGCAAGAACCAAAAAAAAAAAAAAAAAAACTACTTTTCTAAGTTGGGCGGGGAGTCCTTCGGGACATCCGTTAAAATTGGAACGATACAGAGAAGATTAGCATGGCCCCTGCGCAAGGATGACACGCATAAATCGAGAAATGGTCCAAATTTATATATAAAAAGGAAAAAAGGAAGTTGGGCGGGGTCGTGGTCAGGTAGGTTCTTGATGGAATGCTTCTAACTAGTATTTCAGTTAGATTCTGGATGTCGTTTTTTACTGCTTTTGTTATTTTTCCATGTTTCTTAGATTCCCCTGCCAGCGAGGCAGGGCATATCTTGTGATCTACTGAACAGCTCTGGTTGAGGGCATACTCACACTTGCACACAGACAAATGTATCTAACTAATTTCAGTGCCAAATTCGTGTTTCTTTTTTTTTCTTCTTCTTTGAGATTCGTTTCTTTGTTTTTTTTTTGTTTTTTTTTACTTCTGGATTCTGACAAAAATGCCGCGGGGCTGATACACCCAAACTGCGACGTGCTCACACTAGCACTCGGGAGAATGCATCCAAGTGCATTCACGTCTCCAGCGTTGTTGTTTACTTTTTTTTTTGCTGTTTTTGTTTTCCAACTGTTCCCCCCAGCCTCAGCCCGTCCAGCTACCGGTACTGCCAGGCTTGGCAGGGTCGAGACATACCGGTCGCTGGAGGCTCAGACTTGATAGCTGGGCCAAGTACTGGTGGTTTAACTACCGTCTTCCCCCCCCAACACAATGTACCCTCATTTTGACTGTATCGGGCTGGGAACATGCCTTGCATACGTTCATTTTCAGGGTGCGTTATGTTCGGGGGAAGACGGTAGTACTGTGGTACACTGTGCAGGGAGAGATCGCAGTTTTCTGATCGGCACTATCCCTATCGGGCAGTCGAACTCAGTCCTATTTTTATTGTCCTTCCGTTCCCTGAGCAGGATTTGTTTACTATCACTCCCTAGCTGTATATGTCCCGTGGCATCGTTCAATGAGGGTATAGAGATTAACAGCCGGCCGTCCTGTCGCACTATACCCTGACCTCTTATAGCTAGAGCAGACCTGTCTTGCGTGACTGTCCAGGTGGGTCCCCCTTACCACCTTCAACCCCCTGGCCCTTATAGGAAGCCCACTCATTGTTTAAGATATCTAGCCAATCATTGGGAACGTTTTTTCCATCCTCAGGATTTAGTAATTTCTTTTTTCCTTGTTTTTTTGGCCGCAGCTTTTTCCATCCTTAGGATTCAGTAATTTCTTTTTTTTTGGCCACCGCTTTTTCCATCCTTAGGATTTAGTCATTTCTATTTTCCTTTTTCTTTTTTTTCTTATGTTCCTAACAACACACACATGGACTGGTCGTCGCTGCTGGTACCCCGCCTGATGTCCCGTATTTTTTCCCACTCCCCGCAGGCTCGGCAAAAATTGGCGCACAGGGCATATTCAGGCTCGGCTTCAATAGCTGGGCCAAGTACTGGTGGTTTAACGCGCAGCGTCGGAAATTAATAGCTGGGCGAGATACTGGTGGCCGGGCTACTCACACTTCTACCGGCTGGAAAGAGTACTGAGAGCATTAGGCCCTGACCCCACAGGAAAAGTGTTGGTGGAAAAGTGACGAGTTTCGGGTTTCAGTGGAAGAGTGTTTGGAAGAGTTCGCCTGCGGAATGACGCAACCCCACCGGGGGCAAGGTCCCGCTTGCACGGATTGGGAGATTTCGGCCGTTGATCTTTGCTATCTACGGTCAGTATCTCTTAATTCGTGCAAGTGGGACCTAGACCCCGAGTGGCTGAAAAAGCCAGTGTCCACGAGCTTGGAAAGGCTGAAAACTGGAGATGGACCCGACCCCAGATGGTGGTCGCTGATGTCCGGCCTTGCGACTGTTTCGATTGTCCCCCCCTATTGCGACAACAGCATGTCCGTAGCCCTGTCAAGTCTACCAGGGACCGGGTGCTGGCAGACAATGGATGTGCCGGAGGGTTGGCGAGGAGTTTCCAATCATGGACATCCCCCCCCACCCCACCCTACTCTCTGGAGAGGGCACAAGAATACGGCAGAAAATCCTCCACAGCCACTTTTCCGACCGGGAAACCGATGTGAAAACGAAAAACGTGGCTTTTCCAGATACCGTTTTCCAGGCCGATGTGAAAACAAAAAACGTGGCTTTTCCAGATACCGTTTTCCAGGCTGTGGGGTCCCCGAAAACCTCACGGACTTGCTTTGTCCAATGAAGTCCGCGATAAGCTTTTCCACGCCGTTTTTTCCACGGTTTTTCCCTGTGGGGTCCAGGCCTTACTTTTAGGGGCATTTTGGCATCTACTCCGCATAACATGAAACGCAACAATCGTACCTGACTTCCTGCAGGTACTGCTATTTGGTACCCTATTCCTATATCTATCTATTTAGTACTCAGGCTCAGAGCGGCCTGGCATCGACCTATACCCCCCCCAAACTATACGATTGGACCGAAGTTACTGTGTACCCTATTCCCTGTGTGGAGGATCGGTTTTGATCTTTCACAACGGAAAACGTCATGATTTACAAAAAAAAAAAAAAAAAAGGATATTAAATAGATACGCGCCTTTTCGTGATGTTCGGGACCATGCCCCACTTGCTTGGGTTAGGACCAGATCCCACTAGCCCCTATTGTTCATTTCTGACCGTTGATTTTCGTAATCGAGGGTGAAAAATGACTAATCCAGGGTAGTGGGATCTGACCCTTAGACTTGCTTTCGAGTACGCAGGGGTTCCTGCCATCCGATCTGGAAATCTCACGGCCGCGGTGTAGCCGCGGTGAAAAATACTCGAAAACAAAATACCCGCTAGTGGCGCATAGCCCCCAAAATAGACACAGCTGGTGGATCATCTGCATGCGCGCGGGTCTCAAATATAGGTGCAATCTAAAGTTTTTTATTGCGGACATCACAAGAACTCGTGCGTGTATCTGGTATCTCCATAAGTCAGCAGCCAGTTTAGCTTACCTGCATTCATCCATGGCCTACGGTTCGCGCCACCTCTCTCTCTCTCTCTCTCTCTCTCTCTCACACACACACACACACGCACACACTCGCGTCAGTATCGCCTTCTCTCTCTCTCTCTCTCTCTCTCTCTCTCTCTCTCTCTCACACACACACACACACGCACACACTCGCGTCAGTATCGCCTTCTCTCTCTCTCTCTCTCTCTCTCTCTCTCTCTCTCTCTCTCTCTCTCTCTCTCTCTCTCTCTCTCTCTGTGTGTGCGTGTGTGTGTGTGTGTGTGTGTGCGTGTGTGTGTGTGTGCGTGTGTGTGTGTGCGTGTGTGTGTGCGTGTACCCCAACGACACGTACCAAGACTCATGGTTGCTGTCTGTCTGCATCGCTCTCCCTCCTTCCTCCCTCTTCCTCTGACACATGACGTTATGACGGGCATAGTTCCATGGATACGCTGGACTTACCGGAGCGTTAGGGGTAGCAAAAGAAGCTTGGTCGCTGCTGGATGTAAATGTCCACGTCAAATCACTGCTTCCTGAGATGGACAAACATCGCTCCTGCCGCGGCATTCCCAAAACGAAGTCCGACACATAGAACCTGCCATAAAACAAAACAAAAAAAAAAAACATTATTCCCTGACAGACTGTTTCGTCCTAGTTTGAGCACTGCCTCGCAACTGCAAGTTACTGTATAATCCCACCTTAACCCCACCTCGGGCCACCTGCGTTTACACTGCGCGACACCTGATATCCATCCTCTGTATGTACTGCCCACTGCCCTCGAGTGTGGGCGCCAACACGTGACGAACATCTCCACATGTAGACGATAGACTCCAGGGATGTTTGGTTTATGTTACCTGTTATGACCCAGCAAGAACTTCAGTATTGCATTTTTCGTCCATGATCCGATCTCATCAATCGAACTTCGCCGTAAATCCAAATAATGGATTAGCTAGCAAGGCTTGAGATGTGGGAACGGTAGGTCGACTGGCAGATGTAAGTGGGAACGGCAAAGGAGAATTACGATAAAAGGGTTGAGATTGACAAGGAAAGGAATTGCTTGTGCCGGACCACGCAGCCACCGCAAGTAACAAGGGAGAAAAACTCGTTCGAAAGGTTAAGATACAAGGGTAGATGGTCAAGTTCAAAAGTGACATCATCGCCTACACCACAACGCAAAAAACAGCAAAATTTCGTAATTAAAGAAGGCAGATGTCATCATAATAGACGCCAAAGAACGGCAAATCAAGATAACTCGCCATCATCTTGTCGCGAACTGACGTCTGACTCTCTTACCCACCCAATCTATAAATCTGTCTCTTATACACATCTAGATGTGTATAAGAGACAGCACACACACACACACACACACACACATGCTATTTTTCCATTAATGGCTGTGTAGATCGTCCGTCAGTCGGCTGAACGCAGGAGAGCGCGTGGGTAAATCGGCTGAAGGGAAACGTAAGGGAGGACAAGCAGACTCAAGAAAGCCAATTCCCCAGATCCATCCTACAAAGCGCTCCCCATGGTCTCATATCGCATGCAGCTACTAAAACTCAAACGCCAAGATCCACCACGTTAAGCATAAAAAGGAGGTCGACAACGATTAAGAAATGCAATACGAAAAAAACAGCCCATCAATACCACAGACGAAGCAGTAGAAACAGTGAAAAAAATAGAGAAAAAAAACAGTGGCCACAGACTGCTCGTACACGCAACAATAGAAATTCATATCTTCCCCGCATGAACTGTTCTCAAATCAATAAGAAGAACAAGCAGCAAAACAAGAACAAGAACAAGAACAAGATCAAGAAAAGAGGAAGAGAATACATTCATCGCGAGCGTCATTTTCGGAATTCAAGCAACTCGTATCACAGCCCAAACTTGTGCGCGATAAGTGCGCCAAGACATGATTCCAACCGACTCCAGCTCATCGACATGCGAGATACAATTAAAAAAAACGACATTGATTCGCACAAAATCATGACTACAAAGCTTCAAATCGAGAGAAGGGAGTACTGCACGCGAAGCAGAAAGAAATGCCACACTAATAACGAAGCTTGCAATCAAGAACAACATCACAGCGCTTCGCAGCCCCCTCAGCAAAGCCCGGTATTAAATTCTCCCGCCAATTCAGGAATCACGATGTTAAATTTTCGGGACTTTCCCGCCAATTCGTGGCGTGGCGTCCAATGCTACGTATATTCTCCCGATGCACGATTTTCCCGCCTAATCGGTAAGCCCGATGTTCAAATCTCCCGCCAATTGCCGGCAGTCTTTCCCGCGCCGCTGTTACATTTCCCCGATGCGCAATTCTTCAGGCCAAATGCAGGGCACGACATTTCATTTTCCCGCGCGATTGCGGGAACCCCGATGTGGAGCATTTCCCCGCATTCTAATTAGCACGTTCTCGGTTTTTACGACAGTACTCCACACGTATTTGTACTGAATTACAGCCAGATTCTTCGCAGGAAGTCCTACAGTAAGTAGAGTCCCCTAGCCAAAAGTACGGATTTGTTCTGTCGACGAAAAAGAGGCCGTAGTAAAGCGACCTTCGGGTTGTCTGAAAGCCACGCGCTGACAGAAAAAACACCCGACAGCCCGCGCATTAGGAGCGAGAATAGATCAGGTCACCTAGCGGAGATGGTGATGAGTGATGGTCTTGGGTGATCCACACGAGGGTAGGACAGAGGGGGTAGGGGTGAGTCAGGGAGATTGATCAGAGGAAGGATGGAGGGGGGTCTTCTGACGGGGCGGGGGGCGGAGAAGAAGAAGAATTGAATTGAATTGAATTGAATTGAATTGAAGTAGCGAGGCCAGCGCTATGCGTCGATGTCCAGATAATATGTCAAACAACCTCCACACGGACAAACCGCTCACCGCGCACATTCCCCGACGCGTTTCACCTGGCTGCGCACCAGGCTTCTCAAATGGCAAACCTCACTCCCGCATCCACCTGACTTCCCACCTGAGCAAGAGGGCCGTTCTGGCCTTGCCCTCTGTTAATATGCCTTCCGCGTGTGCGTCGGCACACCTCACCTCAACTGAAGAAGAAGAAGAAGAAGAAGAAGAAGAAGATCACTGAAATAGACATAGTAGATCAGTGGATTGTTTTCTGGACGAAGAGAGGTTGCAAAACCGGGTACCAATTCGCCTCAAGAGTGTAAAGACCACGTGCTGATAGTAAAAATACCAGACGCAGTATAAAATTGAGTAGATTAGACATAGTAAGCCCGCTAATTACAACCATAGCGGGTATAAAAATACCCGCGAGGGAGTGACATGCACGGCGGTGGATCCTTTTCGCAACGGATGGAACAAAAGGCAGAGAGCAATTCAGTTCAGCAATCAATCAAGGGAGGGACGAACTTACAACGAGAATTCCTTGCAGCCCGCAGACGCCTGACCAGCAACACACGATTGGGACCGAGACGATGCGCATCCCACACACAATGACATTGGAACTCAAAATCGAAATGTTCAGTGCAGCCCGCCGATGAATGCGGGGTAACACGTACATGGGGTTGAGACAAAGCACACACGCCCTGAGAGAGGAACACAAAGACCGAAGAATCGCAAGTAATAAGCTCTGAATAACTAGCAAAACAGTGCGGCATCTCATAGCGGGATCTCATACGAGGATCTAATAACCAGCTGCATGCCTCAGACAATGAAAATTCTTCATACCGGCTGAAACAATTTCCGCAGACGGATTTAGTAAACAGCAAAGAAATAGCGTAGAACTCGATAGAAAAAGCGACAAACGAAGTAGCAACTGAAGTAATGAGATCGGAACACAAAAGAAGAAATGAAGAAATGACAAAACTGAAGAAGGCCGAGTTGACAAATTTGGCAGCCGTGACAATGAGAAAGAGGATAACAAAGACGATGGGGCGGAGACCTGACAAACGAGGAAGAGAAGAAAGGCAGGAGAGAGAAGGAGACCCGGAGATCTGAGAAGAGGACCAGAAGAGCGTAATCACAATGCGGACCTTATCCAGTGAGTATGTCCTAGCACATCTCTCTCTCTCTCTCTCTCTCTCTCTCTCTCTCTCTCTCTCTCTCTCTCTCTCTCTCTCTCTCACACACACACACACACACACACACACACACACACACACACACAGAGTGTGCGTATGCCCCMCCCTCTCTCTCTCTCTCTCTCTCTCTCTCTCTCTCTCTCTCTCTCTCTCTCTCTCTCTCTGAAATCGAGGGAATTCTTCTAAGGGGCTAGAGGAAGAAAGGAATGGCCATCTCACCTCGGGTAACCCGTGGGACTGCTTTGGTATCGGACAGGCAGCACCAAGTTTTGAGGGCCCGGTATCGGCGAATCAGGCCCTCCTCCTATCATCACTTCGGGACCCTCTGAAGGAAGCGCCATAGCCACTTCTAGCACCACGGCGATGGTAAAGAACATGGCTACAATGAGAGAGGCACGCGCCTCCATCGCCGCCATAGCTGCTGCCGCTGGAACTCAAGTGCCTTCCACGTGTCACTCAAGCAAGCTTTCCCGCGGCAGCACACCGCGTTCACTTTCCCTCCCTTGTTTTCGTAAATCGGAGACACGGCAAGCCCCGCGCTTTCTCCTTCCCAACAAACCCACAGCGCCCGGGCGCAGATCTGAGGACAGATCTAAAGACAGATCGCCGCGATGGCCGTACCCGTAGGCCCTCCCCCTGCCACTCGCCACACGTGACAATGACAAAAGCTTTTGGCGCGCGAATATGTCCAGATTTACGCGAAGATACGTTCGCCATTCTGCACGTGCGGCGAGGTCCCAGACCCAGGATGTCGCACCACTACCACACGTGAAAATGACAAAAGCTTATGGCGCGTGCATATGTCCAGATTTACGCAAAGATACGTTCGCCATTCTGCACGTGCGGCGAGGCGCCAGACCCAAGATGCCGCACTACTACCCCTTGCTCGCGCTTCCCATTTCTTATTTTCGGCCGTCGATCTCGCAACCTACGGACGCGGATGAAATGGTAACTGTGCATGTAGGCACTCGGCCTTTCCGGCGAGGAAGTCCGCCAATGATGAGTCGTGACTGTATCTAGTCTCGATTCCTGACACATTCGGTCAGGTTGGTTCGAAAGAGGATTAGTGTCATATGGCACTGAGCCGCTTCGGGACTACCATGAGACTGTGCGGGGGCAAAGAAAGACGTCCGATCGATGAACTTGACAAAAGAAAAAGAAGTAATAATAAATATTATAATATAATAAATGTAATAAATGTCGACCGCATCTTCCTGGCAATGGTGGCAATATATGGGCTTCGATCCACTACTCTCGACATGCACAAAACCTACCTCGTAGGTTGGGGAGAGATCCAGGGGCCATGTCCCACTTCTCTCGAGGTTTTCGTCTGGTTTCGAGTGTACATGGCTCCTTGCCATCCGATCTGAAAATCTCACGGCCCGTGACCACGTTGGAAAATACACGAAACATAAACTAAACCCCCACTAGTGGTTCACGGGCCCGGGTTGGTTGGTGTTCCCCCGTACTATAAATAGACTAGTGAGAGGATGACATGGGTCAGATCCCACTAACCTGGATTATTCATTTTTCACCCTCGATTACGAAGATCAACAATCAGAAATGAACAATAGGGGCTAGTGGGATCTGGCCCATAGACGCATGCTACCAAGAAACATGAAACAAGTGGATGACAAAAACATTTTGCGAAACACCCCAGCCATCAGTTGGACCCCATCTTTGCAATGTACCCCTATCGGACGCTGCCCAACTTTGCAAAATGGCCAGGCAGTCTCCTAGTTTTCATAGGTGCAATTGCAAAAGCCCAAGCGAATTCGCACACCCATCTGACAGGGGCAAAACACAAACATGTCAGTCCAAAAGGCCATTCCACTGTGCCCATATCTTTTGGGGAATTTTGACATTTATAACAACTTATGGGGGTATTTGGAAAATTAACTTCCCCTCAAATAAAAAGGACTCTCTCTCTCTCTCTCTCTCTCTCTCTCTCTCTCTCTCTCTCTCTCTCTCTCTCTCTCTCTCTCTCTCTCTCTCTCTCTC